GAGATGTATGGGGAAGATAACGGTTAACTCTACACGTGAAAAGTTAAGATTGTAATCATCGGGGAAACATCCTATTGGGAGTCGTTTCAACAAAACATCGTTTCGTGGGAAGAATCTGCTCGTGAAGATTACAAAAATGGTGGAAATAGAATAATATGGTTGTGTCTAAACAATTTCCCTGTAAAAAAAAACTATAGAGCAGCGAAATATATTATACTATAATATAATATAGTATAATATATTATACTATAATATATTAAACTATAATATATTATACTATATTATATTATAGTATAATATATTATAGTATAATATATTATACTATAATATATAATACTATAATATATCATACTATATATTATACTATAATATATTAAACTATAATATATTATACTGTAATATATTATACTATAATATATGAAACTATAATATACAATACTATAATATATTATACTATATATTATACTATAATATATTAGGAGGCAGATTAGGAGAACATAGAGGAAAAAATGTCCTTTAATTCAAAACGTAGCTTATAAAAGTGTCCAAATATTTTTGTTTCTAACATATTTTTACATATCTCTCCTGTGTAAATTTTTAAACGAATATATTTTTCTTAAATCTTTTACTTTTGAAAAAGGACATATTTAGTTTAATGTTGCAAATTAAAAAAACAAATGGAATATTTCTAGTCATGTGTATATTACTATTAGCAAAGTAGTAAATTTGGAAGCCCTTAATTATATATATATATATGTGTGTGTGTGTGTGTTTGTGTCTGTGTATGCGCGCCCGTGTGTGTGTGTGTGTGTGTGTGTGTGTGTGTGTGTGTGTGTGTGTGTGTGTGTGTGTGTGTGTGATAAAAATCTTGTTTTAAGTAATGCTATATTTTTGCTTAAAGGGGCTCAATATCAGAGACAGAGCCTATGTAAACATAAAAGTAGACACTGAGACCAACAACAAGCCACGTCTTTCAGTTTTATGCTTGAACGCAATCATCAGGCTATGTGTGCTGAGTTTTGATTCGACTATTTATATATCCTGGTGAATGGTGTGTTATTTGTAGTGATATTTATTGTATTATCCTAATGGTTATTGGGTGGTCGATAAAGGTTATGTTTCAAATTATTCTAGAGCCTATTGAGTGAAAATAAATTATTTGTAGTTATTTTATAGTATTGTTGTTAACTTTTTTACTCTTCATCTATTATTAGTTGTTGGTTATTATTATGACATTAATTTGCATATATATGAGCATATGTAATTTATTAATTTGTTTATTTACTTAATTTGTTTATTTAGATTTGTATTTTTTCTCAGGTCTTGGTTAGCTCATTTGTTTAGTTTTATATATTGGCTTTGTCTAAAGTATCTTACATTATCTCCGCTGTGCATATTCGTTTTTAGTTTAAAATTTTTAAGTAACAAAATTTGTTTCTGTGTCTGCATTTTGAAATAAGTTCTGATCATTCATTCTGTAAATTTTGTTGGTCTGGAAGGTGATTATAGCTATTTTCTACACCAAACAAGTTTGCAGTTTTTGAATTTAATCTTGTAGGCTAATGTCGTTTTTCTTATTTTCCATATTTTTTATGTCATTTTTTTTATGATTTCCATATATGTTTAGAAATCATTGTGCTGTTCGTGTATTTACTATTTGTGAAGGATATTGTGTGTGCGTAGTGTCTCTGTTTCCGAGGACATTCTGCTACTCGTTTGTATATTTTTCTTCGTTATCTGCTGATTTTACAGTGGCTTAGTATATTACATTGTTTTTCAAGCAACTTCCATGTAAGGAGCATTCATTCTTTTCTCTGAAGTTACAGATGCTTTTAGCTGGTGCGAGTGGTGTTATGGTTATTTTTTGTTTTGCTTTTTTATTATGTGTGTCATGTTCTCGGTGAAAATATAGCTGATTTTTACTGTTTCCATTGAATATCTTATAAATATTACAAGATGGGGGAAGTATTTTTCCTACGTTTGTTTTTACGTTTTTGTTGAACGGTGAGTTAAACCATGTAATGTTTTTCTTCTATTTGGCTATTAGGGCTGTGTAATGTGTATGGGATTGTTGCCTAAACTTTTAGGACCGTTTCATAGTCTTTCTTGGTATCGCTGAAAATGTTTCGTTGAAAGTATTGGCACACACACACACACACACACACATTTAATTTTAATAATTATATTGAGGTTTTCGGCTCTCGTTTTTGAAACATGAGAACTCTTATGTAGCGAAGGGATGATATTTTTTTATAAATAATTATAAATATAGCTCTACTTCTGTATGGAGCAGTTTTTAAAAAATAAAACACAAAAATACTAAAGAACTCCGGATTATTTACCTAACGTGTTCTTTCCTATTTTTCTACATATCTGCACGCACACACACACACACACACACACACACACACACACACACATATATATATATATATATATATATATATATATATATATATATATATATATATATATTGTACAAAGTTCGTTACAGCTGAAGAGACTTCATTATCAATGTTAGACTGTTCATTGATATTTTGGACAAAGTAATCAACATTGCGTGCTGCCAGTTTATATATATATATATATATATATATATATATATATATATATATATGTGTTTATATGTATATGCGTGTGTGTATATATATATATATATATATATATACAAAAAACACACACACACAGACACATACACATACACGTATATATATATATTAGAATTTGCTCAGTATAAGAGATTGAGCGCTTATAGATATAGATAGCAATCTTGTCTGAAGATCGCCTAAAGCATCATACAGGCATTTCATGCCCTACTGATTTTGATACTCTCTCTCTCTCTCTATTTCTTTTTTCATAATCTTTGCGATATATATATATATATATATATATATATATGTGTGTGTGTGTGTGTGTGTGTGTGTGTGTGTGTGTGTGTGTGTGTGCACATATGTAGAAAAATAGGAAAGAACACGTTAGGTAAATAATCCGGAGTTCTTTAGTATTTTTGTTTTTTATTTTTTAAAAACTGCTCCATACAGAAGTAGAGCTATATTTATAATTATTCATAAAAAAAATATCATCCCTTCGCTACATAAGAGTTCTCATGTTTCAAAAACGAGAGCCGAAAACCTCAATATAATTATTAAAATTAAATGTGTGTGTGTGTGTGTGTGCAGATAAGTAGAAAAATGTGGAAAAGATAGGTTAGGTAAATAATTCGCTAAATTTTCGCTTAAGGGTGAAACAGGGCTTCATACTTTAATTCAATTTAATTTTAATAATTATATTGAGGTTTTCGGCTCTCGTTTTTGAAACATGAAAACTCTTATGTAGGGAAGGAATCATATTTTTTTAAATAATATATATATATATATATATATATATATATATATATATATTTTCAAACATGTATTATTAAATATAACGGACAATGTCTATTATGTCTATTAGGTTTGATCAAGGAACAACATAATAAAAATTTATCCAAATGTAGGAGATTTTTGGCATTATTTTGTCAGAATAATACACTCGTTGTCTGTTATATTTAAAAATATATGTTTGAAAAATGATCTGCTGCCCAATACACTATATATATATATATATATATATATATACATATATATATATTCATGAATTATTCACACAAAAACAAAAGCAAAGGTTAATGATTTAATTGGCGAGAAATCCATCATCGCAAACAATTCAAATAATATACAAAAACCTCCGAATCCGTTATGAATGAATTGATCCTTGTTTCCATAAATTTCTGCCGTATTAGTTCTTATTTTTACTACAAGCTTTTGTCTGTTCCTACAGACATCTTCAGGTATAGAATAGATGTTGTTCTTGTTTTTTCTCTTAGTAATAAGAGGACAACGAAAATATATGTATTGTTGTATCCGAAAATGCTGAACGCACAACCTTTAAAAATTTAAAATCAAACTCAGCATTGCTACTGGCGCGCTCCAAAAACAATGACTCATTTTCAATAGCATTTTCGGATTCGGAGGTTTTTGTTTATTATTTGAATTGTTTGCGATGATGGATTTCTCGCCAATTAAATCATTAACCTTTTGCTTTTGTTTTGTGTGAATAATTCATGAATTTGTAAATTGAGTGCACGTTTATCGTAATATATATATATATATATATATATATATATATATATATATATATATATATATATATATATATATATGTGTGTGTGTGTGTGTCGCAGAGATACTATTTTCCCCAAACAGTACAACTGTTTATTCCTTGTTCCTAAAGTTTTTAAAGTTAGTTCTCAATATTAAGATATTGAGAATTAATAATTGGCAAATATAATAGAATATTAAATAGAATATTTAATATTGTTATAAATATTATTAAATAGAATATTAAATAGAATATTAAATATAATAGAATATTAAAACTTATCTTTCCGTCCAAAAAATCGTCAGTTGGTTAGATGATAATATTGAAATTATTTACCGATATCGCATATTTCTTTAAAAAAAATAAAATAGTTTAGTCGTTTACCTAAAAGATTTCATTGTTCGACGTCAATTTATTATAAATCAATTCTTTCCTAACGATGTTTTTGAACGACTTAATCTAATTTGAAATTGCTTGCTTCATTTCTCCATATTAACAGCATTACTTACAAAAAACTGTTTTTTAGAAAACCGTTATTGTGAATTATTATTATTATTATTATTATTATTATTATTATTATTATTAAAAAGAACACTTTTTTGTTGTTGTTTTTTTCTATTCGGTTCATTATGATTGTAATTATTACAGCATGCTTGTTTCATAAAATGAATATATTTCAGTTGGTATAAAATGAAGATAACATATTCAATTATATAACAATTAAATTTCTGCACGCAACCCAAAGATAATGTTTTTAAGAAATATTTTTTTTTAAATTGACGTGAAAATGTAGCGACTTTTAAGAGAAAAATAGATAACATATTTGAAGAAATATTTGTAAATAAGGTCAATATTACTGTCTAACCCATGAACAGCGAGATACCATTTCTGAGATAGATAGACAAACATGAAAGAGTATTAGATAGATAGATAGATAGATAGATAGATAGATAGATAGATAATGAAAAGACTGAGATAGATAGATAGATAGATAGATAGATAGATAGATAGATAATGAAAAGACTGAGATAGATAGATATGAACAGACTGAGATAGATAGATAGATAGATAGATAGATAGATAGATAGATAATGAAAAGACTGAGATAGATAGATAATGAAAAGACTGAGATAGATAGATAGATATGAACAGACTGAGATAGATAGATAGATAGATAGATAGATAGATAGATAGATAATGAAAAGACTGAGATAGATAGATATGAACAGACTGAGATAGATAGATAGATAGATAGATAGATAGATATGAACAGACAAAGATAGATAGTTATGAAAGAGAATTAGATAGCTATGAAGGAGAATGAGATAGATAGATAGATAGATAGATATGAACAGACAAAGATAGATAGTTATGAAAGAGAATTAGATAGCTATGAAGGAGAATGAGATCAATAGATAGATAGATATGAACACGCAAAGATAGATAGATAGATAGATATGAACAGACAGATAGATAGATAGATAGATAGATAGATAGATAGATAGATATGAATAGACAAAGATAGATATGAAAGAGAATGAGATAGATAGATAGATAGATAGATAGATAGATAGATAGATAGATAGGTTCGGTGTGCTAGTGGTAAATAAGGTACACTTATTGATATCACTACTGTTATTAAGCCGATTTTAGTCTGGCACACCTACAATTATGGTGTAACTAGTGAAGTTCGAACAAATATTAGTGTTTAGTTAGAATACCATGCTAACTACAGTTCCACAGCAAGGCTGGCTAAAATTTCCATCATAATCGAATGATCGTGCGCCGGTAATGATGAATATTTTCGATAAAGAGCTGATAGCCGGGCCATTCGCAAAATGCATTTGCGATGCACTTGGTAAAATGACATCGATCAAGAGTGAATCTCGATCGATTTTCTCTGGTCAGCCAATGAAATCCCTGAAGAGCCCACACAGACAGGAATATAGGTCATCAGAATTGTTAAAATCGCTAGGTTTCAGAAACCCCAATCCAATTATAGTTTCAGGAATTTTGATCTTACAGAAAATCACTATGTGCCAATAAAATATACGCTAAGTATTTTCCGTTTTATTTTTTGCTACAGTTTTTTTTTTTTCTGTGCCATAAAAACTTTTTTTTTTATTTTACATCTTTCATTACACTCGGTATTTTAATGCAAATTTACACAGTGTAGAACAATGAAGCTTGTCGAAGAATAAAGGCAACTTACTTTTCCCCGCTGCAGGGCACGACAACTAAGGTTTTAAGAATATTTACTGCACTTCACGATTGAATCTATATATTTAGAAATGTTCAATTTTTGAACTTTCATATTGCTCTCTACTACAGATATAAATGGTGTTTAGTCATATACTAGTGTATAGAAAAATAGAACGTTAACTTATGCAATGTACTCACGTGTTTCATTTCGATTGAGGACGCCTATCACACGGAGCCATTTAAAAAAATAAATTGTCGATAACACAATCATTCTAAAGACATCTAATTCTCGACGACATCTTAAGATAATGGAAGCTCTTTATATAAAACTATGCAAGTTATGCTTTAACATTAACTCCGTTTTACAACGGTAGTAGCGTTGGCCGTATTTTAAAAAGACCGCAGCATGAAACTAGTCTCACATTTCTCCTAGCGTAGGTAAGAATTGATATATATATATATATATATATATATATATATATATATATATATATATATTATAATTATTTTTTTAAAAAATATGATTCCTTCGCTACAGAAGAGTTCTCATGTTTCAAAAACAAGAGCCAAAAACATGTAATTATTAAAATTAAATTGAATTAAAGTATCAAACCCTGTTTCATCCTCAAGCGAAAATGTAGGAATAACCAATCTTGAAATTTACGTATCTTTATAAGTATGTTCATTCGTAAAATTAATTACGATGGAATGGAGTGGCCATTTCGATAAGGGGCGTAAAAGTTAACAATTTGTATCAACATATCAGTCACCTTCGGAAAGAGGTCAAGCCGAGGCACTGCCGGGGTGTCCATTTCAAAGCGAATGATGGCACATCGTCTGGTCAGTCGCAGCGACAGATAACTGCTGGCACCATCGTAGGCCGTTAATGTCTAAAGGATTATTTTTTTCAAAAGGGCTGTGTCGTATATAAACGCGTCGCACTGAATTACAATTTGTTTTTTGACGACTTCATAAAGGATTTTTTATCTTATGATTGTCTTACGCTTTTAAACCTTTTATTAGACGAGGAAATTTAATTTTTTTTATGCTAATTATTTAATGCGAAAATTTGTTGATGTCGGCAGAAAACCGTTAACTCATGTCTATGGTTTAATACATTTCCATTATTTAGAAACTTAATAATGTGTAGTTTTTCATGTAGGCATAAAGGGCATGGGTCATCTCAGGTTTTACAAGTTCTTGTTCTATTTATTATTTTCCATTTTACTTTAGGTGTTTTATTCATTTCTTTTAAATGCCAAAAATATTTGGATAGGGGTGTGTGATTTCTATTTCTAATATTATTGAAGGAGCTTTTGTGTTCTCTCAATCTCTCTCTCTCTCTCCCTCTCTCTTTTTCTATATATATAAAGAGAGAGGGGAGGGAGAGAGAGCGATAGGGAATTGCGGGTCAGATTGAGGAATCGGAGAGCCGAGTTTGAATTCCAATCGAGTTCATTGCATTCCTTTCCATGCTAACGCCCTTTGGAAAAGTATGAATTTATCACTGCTCCCCCAGCTTTGGTTTAAATAGCAGGACAGACTGGGTTCTATAATCTTGTGAGACAAACGGTCAAGGAGAAGGAAAATTCAAACCAGCCTGGAAAGCGTTGGGCTCCGTGCCCCTACATAAACTGATGAGTTAAAAGAGACGTGATCGTGATGCTGTTATATATATATATATATATATATATATATATATATATATATATTATATAGGAATAGATACAAATTATTTCCTAAATGCATTATGAAAAATAAAAAAATAAGAGATGATAACACTTACAGAACAGACCAACCAGTTTCGTTCCCAAGCTCATCAGGATCGACTGGGAACAAATTAACAATTATTGCAATATATATTGACTCACACAAACACCCTACATACAATTAAAACATTAAAAATGAAATGATTAATGGTATGAAGGGAAGAAAAAACATTCAATCCGCGCGAATTTGCACAGCACAAAGAAAAAAAAAATGGGGAGTGTGAGGGGAATGTATGATACACACTAGAGTCTAATAACGTGAAGCCCAAGGAAACAGTCTTTTTGCTTGCAAAGAGATGGCTTCCTGGACCGAATATATATATATATATATATATATATATATATATATATATATATATATATATATATATATATCAGGATCACGATCACTGTGAAATAATGGATAACGGTTCAGGATGACTTATCAGAGAGCCGAGTTCGAATTACAAATTGTTCATTACATTCACTTATATGTTAATTATGTTCATCTTTTCTCTTTATGTGTAAAAAGCAGCACATATGAGGCTCTATAGCATTGGGTGGTACTTGGTCTAGGAATTTGAATTTAAAACCAGCCTGGAGAGAGTTGGACTCGGTCAACTTGCCATCTCATCTTGTCCAGGAAATCTCACAACTACTACGACTGCAATACATATGGTGGCAGTCCTGATCGTGATTATTCTGTTTTTCAGGGAGAGTTTGAATATGAATTGCTTAATGTCTTCTGCGATATTATCAAAGGATTTGAATGACTTGATTAGGTTTTGTCTAGATGTCCATTTTTTTCTGAGGGGGTTGAGTATCACGTCTTCAAAGAATGGCTTGTGTTACGTCATTTTTTTAAAAAAAACTTTCGTGTCTTCACGTGTCAGTTTGTTGCATCTTTCTTTTACTTATATTTTTTTAAATACATTTAGTTCCTAAGTAGACGGAATTTTATTGATGCTGACTTTATTTTTATGCTTAAAGTTTCAAGTATTTGAAGCCATAGCCATTTGACAATGACTTATGAAAGCCGGAAATGCTCAGAAGATATTGGACAATTTATGTTCAATTTTTTTTTCGCAAAACATAAAGATGGTCAGAATCTGTAAACATATTAAATAAAAAAATGTTAAACAAATAACTTTCGTTCGTTTCCAACCAAACATGTGTAAATTAAAAATTGCTACCGAAATACTCTCACTATGTTTTAGACTATTATCACAATGTGAAAAATTTATTAGTTACAGTGTTAACAACATGGGATTTGTTTAATAAGTGATAAAAACATGAGATATTAAATAATGAAGACCTAAAGCGCGAAATACGTCCAAGGAAAAAAATCATTCACTTTATCATAGATTTCACTAAAATTGTTCATTATACATAAAAATTTATAAATCGTTTGTCATATATATATATATATATATATATATATATATATATATAAGGCATGATGTGTGTGTTTGTGTGTGTGTGTGTGCATGTGTGTGTGTGTGTGTGTTTGTGTGTAACGAATGCACAGCGCAATTTTCGACGAATTTGCACCAAAATTTAGATGCATTTCCCAACTCCCATCGATAGTGGAAATAATCGATTTTTTCATGCTTCTGTACTGGCCAGAGTGAGAGCCAATAGCTGACTGCCACGAATAGGCAGGACATTTTACTGGCCAGCGTGAGAGCCAACAGCTGACTGAAACGAATGTTAACTAGCATGCAAAAAAAATATATAGCTGCATTCATCACAAGTGAGAAAAATTTAAATCTGCATGGCACTTTACTCCAATTTGCTCATTTGCTTGCTTAAATCCGTAGTGTGAGATAGGCAAGAAGTAAGGCGTGTAGCAACATCAGCACGGCAAAGGGCACTCTTTCAAAGCCAAGGAAGGGCAAAAATATTTTAAATCAAGTGATAGCGATTGCTGTATGAGTCGTACGATTTCTGAATCAAGCACGGGCAACGCCAGGCCATGCTGCTACTAATATATATATATATATATATATATATATATATATATATATATAACCTGGAGAATAATTGCAAACTTGCCCAAAGCTTTGAACCGTTGTATCTTAGAAATGATTAAAAATATTTTACTGGAATTCTCCGAGGTTTTTATAACACTATTGTACTCTAATTTGGACAATAAGAATGTATTTAGCCCTAAGTTGAAAGGATGACCTCTCTTGCTGTTGTGACCTCTTGATCAACTTTTTCTCTCTACTGTTAACTCTTTTTAAACTTGTCCACAGTTCTCTTGACGGTTCTGGAATTGTATTTGAAGATGGAAGCAAGAGTATGAATTATGGTACCATTAAAGAAGGCCTGAATGATCTTTTTCCCTCTCATCATTTCTCAGTCGGAAAGACGTAGTGGGCTGAGACAAAATGATTTTAATCTGTTCTCTTTCTAGATGGTATTAAATGTCTGAACATTTTATCTGAAAACACGAACAAAAGAAACTCAAATAGTTTAGAGGTTTTCATATATATATATATATATATATATATATATGAATGAAACTATTTGACACTGGTAGTATGAAATTAGGTTTAAAATAGTTCATGTAGAAACCCCGTATAGGAATTGGAGAATTGGAAGTGTTAAAATCGTTCAAATCGTTAAGGTGAAAGCATGAACTGAAATATGAAGCGAAGAAAAAAAAAGAGATTTTTTCCTTGATAATCTGATAGATTGATAGAATTATTAGGAATCTAAAAGCCAGAATATAATATAGTCTAAAATATGCCATGAGAAATTAGGAATGAGAAAAATTCTTTGCCGATTTGAAATGAATTTCAAAGCGTAAAATGTTATCGGGAAAAAAACATGTTTGACGTCTTTGGTATTTGAAGGTCATTGACGGCCGGGGATCAAATTTGGGTAAA